TTGTGGCATTGATAATACGAAAGGCGTCATCATCTTAGAAAATTACCTTCTTTCGTTTTCGGATCTTTCACTATAAATTTCACTTCTGTGGACCTGGAATGTGATTTAAAGTCCTAATGGATAACTGAAAGTTATGGTATGGATTTTTGTATGAGATTTCTTCGTTATTTTCGGGAAAACGTGATGAAGTCTCAATACAAATGAATACAGAGCTAACATTATTTAGGTATAAAAATAATTTAACAACCGTAGCAGAAAATAAAAAAAACTCTAAAATTCTTAAATTTGTTTGATGTTCGCGAAAAAAATTTAATGTTCATGAAATTTGAGAAAATCCTGTAAAACTAATAAAATTTAATCTCAGAAATACACTACACGGTAATATCAATGATAACAATATTACGTTATCAATTCGAATTCTTTTATGGCCATATTTCTTTGGAACGACTAGAGGAAATCGTTAATATATTATTATTAGAGCCAAACTGTAGAGTTTCTTGAAGGAAAAAAAAATATGAAAAGCGCGCAATGCCCTGGAAAGGATTGGAACTTCGGTTCTTGTTATTTGCTAGCGGGACGTGATTTCCAATTATACCTCTTAAGGCAAGTATTAAGAAGAGAAAGAACTTTCAAAACAATAAAGCGTGCAACTGTAAACAATGTATAAACAAATTTGGACCACAAAAAAATCACATTTAATATTACTTCAGTGAAAAATATAGATATATAAATATACTATCTACTAATAAGTATTTGGATACCTGTGGTAGAAACGTAAAGCAAAATTTATTCACATTCAGTAGTTGGTAGAGTCTCCACGAGCGGCAATTACAGCTTCAACTCATGATTCCCATTGTCACTATACCAATCCATGATGGACCTCGCAACATGATAGCTGGCGATGTTGGCGAAGCGTCACAAAGTAAGAAGCACACTGTCATCCAAAATAATGCATTAGTATCGGTGTGGAGTTCACCATGAAATTTTACCAAAGGTTCAGTCTCATATCAGGAGAAACACCCCCAGACCATAATTCCACCTCCGCCGAACTTTACTATGGGCACAATGCATTCTGTCAAGCCAAATCTAGACCCTTCCGTCTGAACGGTAGAAGCTGAACCTTGATTTTTGCTCTAGAGAACTCGTTTCCACTAATCAATGATCGGTACTTACATATTAACGCAACTAGGCCAAAATTCGCATAAATTGCCAAATTTGGCGACCCTACTTACGGCAACCCTTGCAGAATTATTTTTTCCGCGGAAATCTTTTCGCTATTGCTTTTAGCACTGATTGAAAACCGTATTCGCCATAACCATGTACACGTCGACTTATTTTTACTTAAAAAAACATCCCAGAATTGCACAAAAATGGCATTGCGCACACTCTTGACTTTATCCATGTACACTGCTATTTTCTCATAAATCACAAAAATTTGCACGAAAATGCAGGAAAATTTTGTGAATCTCCACATGCAAAATAGCAGTGTACATGGATAAAGTCAAGAGTGTGCGCAATGCCATTTTTGTGCAATTTTAAGTAAAAATAAGTCGACGTGTACATGGTTATGACGAATACGGTTTTCAATCAGTGCTAAAAGCAATAGCGAAAAGATTTCCGCGGAAAAAATAATTCTGCAACTTATTCAAATTCGAAACCGGAAGGGTTTAATTGCTATTTTATATTTTAAAACAAAATAATATAAAAAACTGTATTAAAAATTATCTGTAATTAACAAATGTACATTTTCTTTCTATTCATACTTTTTTACTCAAACTTACAAATCGCGCCAACCTGGTTGCGATAATACGTAAGTACCCAATGATCCCCTGTCAGCGTGCTTCACATCGCATTAACTGAGCAGCGCAGTTGGACTTGTGATCAAAGGCTTATGAGCAGCAGCACGACCATGAAAAAATAGATGTGCTTTCTTACGGATGGTATTCATCGGAACAATACTCCGGATTGCCTGTTGAAATTCCTGGAGTATGTGGGCCATCAGTTGGACGTGGTTCTTCCCGAATTTCTCTGGACGGCACCCGTCGGTCCTTATCTCCCAGTTTCGCGGATCTGCGACTCGACATTCCGATAATCACCGCTCATCATCTACTTCTGAATCATGTAGGCCACTGTCTAATATGGATGATTCAACTCACTAGATATGCCCCTAAGGCCAATTTTGTGATACCCAACGATAGATCTTTATAAAAATTACATAACTATTCGTTTATTCGTAACACCTTGCATGCCACTAATGCCAATCTTGTTTCCTCCACGATATTCAATGGTGGAAGGCGTGATATATAAGAACCACAGATATCGACATTTGCATGGGTGTTCAAATACTTATTGGTAGATAGTGTATAATATATATAAATATAAAATATAAAATATTTAATTATGTCAATATTTATGTTTCAATTATATCACACTTGCAAATCTTCATTCAAAGTAATAATAAATATGTTTATAGTTATGCTTAATAGTGTATACGAGCCAGTTTCCCTTAGAAAGTCCTCCACGAAAGGCATCCCTCCCTTTAGGCAGATAGCCCTCGAGGCTTTGCCATAATCACACACACAGGTATGCTTAATAAAATTCTTATAAAAATGTGTAGCATCTCAAATCAAAAATAATTTCAAAAAATTTTAAATTTTTATTTTTTAATGGAATAAATCTTTAAACAGCTCTCTTAATATTTAAACAGGAATCGTTTCGGCATGTTTATTGCTTGCAGTTTGAAGATTTCTATCCTAGTAAAGCAGCGAGTATTGATATTTTGTTTCAGAGAAATATTTATTTCAAGCTTCGAAAAGAAACGATTCAGTGAAAAGGCGCACAGCTATGTCTTAAATAGTTAAATATGTGTCTTTATTAATTAAGTGCACAGTATTCGTCTTAGAATTAATTTATGATACCAACAAGCGTTTTAACAAATATGTTTCTCCTGCCATCTGAAATTTTAATTTTAAACAGCTCGATTTCATCTCTACATCTTGCGTTTCTGAGAGATTACTTCTTAAAATGCTAAACAATTGCGTGATTTTTAAGCTAAATGTTTTTTAATATCTTAAAGTTGATTTTGCATCCGAAGATCATAGTCAAATTATTAAACTAAATATGATTTTGCAGTGTTAAAGGTGCCAAATGTTTCTCTAAAGCTGAACTACCACAAGTTTTTCTTCCCTTTTACTACAACTGATTATTTTACATCTTTTCGTGATCAACTGTAGTTAACAGTGATGTTGTTGCAGGATACGGTTAGCAATCTCTCTCCTCTTGAATGATGAACATTTTTGTAGAAATTCATCTAGTCTTCATGAGTAACACACAAAATTATGACTAAGAGTACAAGTAATATTTACTGGCAGAATACTATTGAAAAGCATCAGACAACACTTTTGGTTAAGTTATGAACTGAAGTACGTATTTTGTAAGCTGTCAGCCATTTTTCTCTCCTTTCCAGATCCGCCTAATCAATTTATCATGCGACAGTGCCATAAGAATTTCTGTAATATTCTTTACTATTCTTAATTATGTTATTTTCACGGAAATCGTTATTTTAAATTGAGTAAATTCATAGCTCAATAAAGAAATGGGTACTCGTAAATATATTAGCAGTACAAATAGTTTTTCCGCACATCTATCCTTTTTTTCCTATTTGTTGCGATTAAAGGGCTCCCAACCATTGCATATAACTTCTTATGATAAAATGAGATTCTTTTTAAATCCCTAAAAACATTGTAGTAATATTTTAAATCATTGGTATCAGTAGACACTGAAACAACTGAGAGTTAAAGAATATTTATTTTCTTTATGACATGCAAATATCCAATTTTCACTCTAATGTTTTGTATGGAACTAAGTTACTAAATTTTCCTTTCTTATTCGCATTACGAATCTCTTTCGGTTATCTTTCATTAAGCGTCGTATGTGGCCGAGTGATAAAAGAACTGACTAGTAGTTCATTCCATGTTAGATACCAACGAATGGGCTGACTGCATGAGATTTACGTGGTTCACACACCATTTAACTTGAACAAGTCAGTTTCCTTTAGCATGTTCCCCATGAGGACATTCCTTCCGTAGGCGGATAGATAGCTTTCGTTTATTTTGCCGTAACCGATTGACTAAAAAACCCTCTTCTTAAATTTGTAAATCCGTTCTTTTGAAATCATACATTATAATTCTGATCCAGTTCATTGTAATTCCTTTTGCTTATTCTAAGATACTCTACTGGCGAGCTTTTAAATTTGTAGGCTCAGTATTTCTCAAACTACCGTACAAGACAGATAATATTAGAAAATTTTCAGTTTTAACTCCGGATTTTGAAATTTTCCAAGCATTTGATTCAATCAAATGCTTGGAAAATTCCGTAACCAAGTTTTATATTGTATATTCAGTGCATTTTATTATTTTTGTAAATAATTTTTAATGCAAAAACTTCCTTCTTTGGGACGCTAAAATTTCCGTGTTTTTAAAACGAAGAATTATTTTATAAACTATTTCCAAATCAAAAAAATCAAAATTGTCAGATGCGAATTTTAACACCTGTTCTTAACGAATGAAACAAAGTTTGAAATGGCTACACTGTAAAAGCTGAATGCATTTGACCCTGCAACTTATAAGATAAATTTCAACAAATCTATCGGCTGCCAGAAGTACAATTTTCAATCATTTTAAAGCACCAGACATCTTTAAAGCAGTACATTATATAATTATTTGACAGCATTTCATGAAATTTATTTATTGCAGTAAAGCTTGGAAAGGGAATTTCAATTTAATCCAAATCTTGTTTACTACTATATATATTATTATTATTTTACTAACATACATATTAATAATTTGTCTGAAGTAGCTGATGTGTTTATCCTTTAGAACCCAACCCCTTTGGTGTTTATGCATTTATTTATACTTATTGAAATATAATTTTCCCTATGTATTCTCCTCCTTTTATCCCTAATGAATGCACCTTAATCAACAAAGTGTCCTTCTGTGTAGGGGAAATAGATAATGAAGGGGAGAGCTTGCACACTACCGTTACTACCTCCGTAAGAACAGTCTTTTGGCTATCTATAGAAGGTACTCCCAACCATTTCATATAACCTTGATACTAGTAGCAGATCCAGGATACATTTTGGAAGTAGAAACCACTGTATAAGAGGAGTGAGCCCTTGTAGAATCAAATTAAAATATTAATAAGCGAAAATACACTGAATGACTTCCATCTGCTTATTAAATCAAAATTGAGTCAAAATTTAAATCAAACGTTTCACCTTTGAATACGTACTGTTTTCGGGCCTTTATAACCGATACCTTCGATTAGATTTGTAAAATTCTTCTACGTTATAAATATGCATAATAAAGAGAAAGCTAGTTTTTATTGGCTCTCTTTTATGTACACCTTATTTTACATCTCCGTTCTCATTAAATTTCCACAAACCGTATTCAACGAGCTCTACAAATATCAATGATATTTTCTCATTTGGCACTTAAAATAATTTTCGTGATAAAATTTAGTATTTCCTCGTGGTTAAAAATTAGCAGTTGCTTAAGTTAAGATCCTATGGTAAGAAAATTGCAGCACTAGCATTATCGATAAATAAAAAATCCGGATTGAGCTTAAAATACTTATACATCGAAATTGAGGGGAGTAGTCAGTAAACCAGAAGTGGTTTTTTTTCAGTCCGTAAATGTTCGGAACACATTGTTGGCCAAGATGCGGATAAATGGTTTCAAATATATTTCTCTGATGAATGTGACAAACGCACTCAATAAAAATATGATTAGCATCTTTATCGCCACCCGGAATTGCGTCCAAATAAAAACTGCTAAGTCCTGGCAAAATTTGAATTAGTTTAAAGTCGGTTGCAAAATAATTAATAGTTAATTTGCGAAAAAAGCTGGGACACTTTTTTGTCCCTCGTACTTTTGCTGATATAAAGTTGCATTTACGAAATGCAGATCCTGTAAAAACATTTCCATGAGAAAGTGAAACGCTCGGGCTTAAATGAACATGAAGGAATATCGTTAATTCAATAAAACAACAGTTCTCTCGTTCTGTAAATTGTCACTGTGTCTTCAAATGTAAGCAAAATGAATGTAAATGCCAAGATTTTGTGGAACTTTAATATTTGTTTGAACAGCAAAGTTCTTTTTAATACTACTGAACAACTAAGTTCTTTGTAATAATTTTTTTTTGTTTTCTAATTTTTTACAGTAATTGTAACGAAGCAAGAGAATTTCTATATGTTGAAATTCGCACTGATCTCTAACCAATATTGAATATTTGAATCCATTTCATAGCGAAGTTGAAGCACAGAGGCACCTTAAAAGACACAACAATAATTGCGAATCCTGTATTGTCTGAATTCTCTCTTTTTCATTTTCCTATCCAACAATAGCGATTTGTCTTGCTTCCTCTAAATAAATAATATAATAATTAATTAACAAACTCCTTAACGCTTTCTAGAATATCGTCGAGACAAAACTGATACATGGTTCCAGTTTATAAAATGTGTCAGACAAGTCAATAAAGACTGCCGTCAGTAAAATTCGACGAGCAGTGTTTACAAACAGAGGCTCCTGCATAAAAATACTGCTTAATATTTCAGTGTCAGGGGATAATATACCAGAGGCAACAAAAAAAAACTCGTAGCTAACTATTCTGCAGATTCGAATAATTCTTAAAGAAATTTTCTTAGAATTTTGCTTTAACGTTTCCAGATTACCATCTTCCTTAAAGAATTGCCAAATCCTTTAATGTATATAGAATAACAGACGCTGTTATTTTCCAACGGATTCAGCTTTAAAATATGTGTTTAATCTCCATAACAGATGTTTCATAACCGTGAAAATATTTTTTGTTTAAGAGTTAAAAGTAATGCTTTCATTAAAATTTGTTACCTAAAATAACTTCTAAATACTTGATTTACATAACTTCCTCGACAGGAATGTCAGCAAGTTGTAAACTGATTTGCAGTCAGTTATAATATTTAATGCACTATCATAACTTTGCTTCTGAAAGGGTAAACTTCAATTTATAAAATCTGGCTCGTAGAAACATAATATCGAATAACGTTTTTATGCATCATACTGTCAATTGAAAAAATACGAGTGCAGATAGCTTTATACAAATTAAAAGGGAGGATTAAATAAGACAAGTTTTAGAACATGATTGACCGCTGTATAGATAGATAGATGGAATAAAGTTAAGAGCTAGTGTTTAATGAGAAATTTAAAGAAGACTTTTAGCGATTGCTTTCCAGCGTATAACCATACTGAACACGAGATGATCCATAAAGGCTGGTGAAGCACCACTGTCCACTCATCGGCAAATTTTGTTATTAGTTTATGAACAGTGTGTTGTGGATATGGTCTTGCTGCAGCATATCTTCTCAAAGCGTTCCACATATAATATTGTATATAACTAAGATTTTGATACCTTACTGGTTAATACATACGAAAGACATCTTTCATTGATCGAAAAAGTGGAATTTTAATGTCTAAGCATTATGCCACCTTAGACCTGCTGCGTAGTACCAATGTCTTTTGATAATGTTGATCTGACAATTCAGTATTCCAACCTCTTCCAGACCATTTGACGTTCAAATTCTCTGGCAAAATTAAAGCAACTGTAATTAATGAAAACTACCCTACTCTAATAAAGGTGGCCCTTTCACAGTTATCAACAATTTCTGTGATGTTCAAGGTTTGAAAACACGCAACATTTAGATCCCCGAGCCAAACGCCCGTATTTCAGTAAATGCCTTATTATAGTAAATTGTGATATATGCAACCATCTTATAATTACTATCTATAATTTTGCTTCGATTTGTTTTGATTTGTAAAATACATTCATTACTCTTTAGTGTTATTTTCTTTGGACTCCCACCACTTATACCTATTCCTATTATATTTTGAAGGTGTCAAAACACACGAAACTGTTTTTTTTTTGTGGGGGGAATACTGATCTCTCTGGGCAACAACTGACGCTCGGATTACCAATGTTATGCCCCCACATCCGTATATTTTCTCGTACACATTGTCTCTGTTTCAACACAATAAAACTTTATTTGAATTTCTTAAAACGACGCACACACTTTCCATTTCTTGTACTTAAAAAATTTGCTATTTGCACACTGATGTCCTATTAAATTTTTGTAGCCACTGAATTTAATATAATACATAGGCTTCCAAGTTATTTTCAGTTTCGCTGATAGATGAAAATTTCAAAATCTTCATTCTTTCATTTTATGTCCAATAAACAATTTTTACATTTTTTACATTAATTTGACAGCCGGGTTCGTTTTCAGTTTAAACTATTACCTACAGTATTAGATTTTATACTAACATGTTAGCTTATTTGAAGTATATTAACGAAAATTAGAAATCAATTCAGTGATGTTTCAACAATCGAAAATTTCTAGTCAATTACCTTTTTTAATGTTGTTTTAACGTGTTTTATATCACTTTACATCACAAAATTATTTATTTTTTAGTATTTTCAAGTAACTTGAGCTAAGTAGTTAATCAAAATCAGTCAAGTAGTTTAAAATATTTTACCTAGCCGATGTATCTGATATTGACACTCATCTCATCTGTTATTTAGAGATATATTTTAATTTCATGTTAATTCAATTTGTAGCATCACCTAAAAAACTAGGAAAGAAGTACAGGCCTTATTTTTTTATTAAAAGGTTACTTCCAAAAACATGATGGAGATATCACAGCTTTATTTAAAAACTTCGGTTTTGCTAACGAGAGTATTCTGATCAGGTGTATCTATTTTGTCGCGAGTACTAATATTAATAGAGATTTGTGATACTTATCCTTGAAGCAGAATAAAATGACTGCTTACATCAGTATACCTAAAGAATAAAATACCTGGAGCAAAATAATATACTTCGAATTGAAATGAATCGTGAAATTTCTCTCATTTGTTTCCAGTGAAACTTAATCTCAGATTCTAACCCCCCCCCCCAGAATAACAATTTCATCTCTGCTGCATATTGTCTTGCCGTATCACATAATTTAGTCATTTATTACCTATAGCTCGAGCAAGACGATATTCAACTGCCAGTGTTGCATGGTATTATTAGCTCATAAACTACTGTTTTAGATATTTCATAGTTTGCAGATTTTATTGGTTATTATTAACATAACTTAATAGTTCAAGATTTTTAAGACAACTGAAAGGATACTTCAATTTAAGCTGATATCATGTATCATGAAGTAACAGTAACAGATGTTCTTCGTGTTGAAATACTGCTTTATTATCTAAATTCTAAAATAACGCGTAATATCAAATCTGAAAAGAACGGTTTTCGTCTCATAATGGTTCGCCAGTTTGAGTTTAAAAGAATTAAACAAGTGAAATGCTTATTCAAGAAAATTTACAAAAAAAGATAGTAATTTTATAAGTTGAGAGGAATGTACATTTCGAAATGCACTGTTGTTTATGGCACATAACAGTAAATTCAACGGTTGCAATATGTGTGTCAAACGTATAGAACTTTACTTTCCTCAAGTTGAAAAATAAAAGATACTAATGCCTACCTTTATATTCTTCTAAAATTTGTTCTTGGTTCGCTACTGGTATCAGTCTAGTGTTGATTCTTTATCTGTGTACGTTCTTTTAGTGCGAATTTTACATTTCAATGTATTCTTTTATTCCTTAAAATATGACATCTTATTGTACTAAAGACTAAAACACTGATGATAACTTAAACTATTATTAACAGCTAAAAAAAATTTGACCCTATGCAAGTTTAACATTTCTTTAACTTTTTTGTCCTTAAAAATAAAAATTTTTACAAATGAATATAGTTTGGTTGTATTATGTGAAGCCTCACACTTTTACCAATAATTAACTATTCAAGAAATTATTAAAATATATTTGAATCATTTTAAAATATTGTATGGCTAGTCGTTTAAATAAAATAGACTGTTTCATAAGATATAAAAAAGTAAGAAAAGTATCCAATAATTGGAGTCTTCATGTAAGCTATTCCTAGAAATTTTTATCCAAGTTTATTACTTAGCCAAATAAGGAAATTACTTAGCCAAATAAGGAAAATAAACTTGCTATGATATTTTGGGAATAACTGTGTATGTTATACTCTACCCTCATTTTTTCTTGTAGGCAATCCCAGGCGAACTACCCTCAAGAGGCCCACTACCACAGCCACCCAATTTCGAATTTCTGTGGGCGCATTAATGAAGAGTTTGCAAGGAAGAAATGCCACTTACGTTCGCTGCATCAAGGTAAAGGATAACTTTTTATAGTTAAATCTGGCTCTCCGGCGTCAGAGTGATAATGTCGCTGAACACTGGTTGGTCGGTCCGGGGTTCGAGTCTCTTCGAACGGGTGTGCTGCAAATTCGTTTTCTGGGTTTTCCCCATATGTAAGGCGTATACGAGCGAGATTCCATTAGAACATACTCCAAGAAGGCATCTCTTCCCTTAGGCAGATAGCCCTCAAGTGCTTTGCCATAATCAGAAAACAAAGAAATTGTTGACAAGTCTACTTCATTTCGCAGAAAATATTACACCTGCAGTATACTAAACCACTCATTAGATAATCTCTTTGTTTTGTTCATAAATATTTAGCTGAATTTCCGAATTTTATTATTCCTTTTCAAATCACTTGAAAAAGATAAGTATGGGATTGGAATCAATAGGTTTCAGTCTTTTTGCAATTAAGTTGAGATAGGTACACAAAGTATCGATCTGAGGATATGTTCATCCGTATTAGCAGAAATTAATATGAATAGTCTTTCATTGTTTATAACAACTGTTCTCGATTTATTAGCCCAAAATGGCTGTTAGTCTCGAACACGATTTGGCGTTGATTCATTTTAAATGCTTTGGTTACACTTTTCATTCGAGTGTGTTGCCATTCAACAAAATGTGATATATTTATCTTTCAAATTTTAATCTACGTGTTATTGATCAATAAACTAAGCTGTTTAAAAGCAACACATGCAGATCTTAAGAATATTATTTTTTTACTTAATGCTTACTTAATCTTATTCATCCAAGTAAAAATGCGTCAAATTAATGAAATATCTAATTAAAAACTTTTAATATTTTTACAGAATTACGTTACATATTTTTTGATTAAAGTATATAAGATTCCAGTTTTAGCCTAAATGTGTATTCATTTAGTATCCTGTACAATGTTTCGCTATTATACATGGTCCGTTTCTATTAATAATCTCTACTGATAAACCATATTAAACTTCAAATGCGCTTTTTTGGGTAACAGCTAAAATTTAAACCCTTTCAGATTTTTTTAACTTTTTTTAAACTTTGAAATCTTTTCTTTTTTTTTTTTTTTTTTTTTTTACTTTTAAATTGAAATATGTGTGTATATATGTGTCTGTATACATATACCAACCGTAAATGAAACAATGAGTTTTTAAAACAGACAGAAAATGCATTATAATAATTTAAATTATAATGAATTTTTAAAACTTTTATTTTGCTGCAGTGCTTACCATAACGTATTTGTCATGTCAAAATAAAATTCTGTACTAGGTGATGTGCGTGAACAAATAGTGAGGTCAGGTGACACAAAGTAGGTAAAGGTCGTCTGTTGGCGTAAATCTTCATTTTTCCTGTGGACTTGGAGCATTAATGGTTACGCGAGCACGGAACTCGGCCGGCATCTATGGGCTTTTCTCTATAATGTCGTGGATAGAAATAGACTAACTGCTAGAAAAAAGTGCTCCTTTGAGCACCTAAAACGCATTTTTATGAGCTCCGCTTTCGTGTAGGAAATGCTTTTACCTACTTCTCAGCAACGCCCAGTACCACCTCAACGCGCCATTTTCGCACACATTTTCCATTAAACAAACCTACGTTTCTGCTAGATATTTTGTAGTCACCCTGTATGTTATATACAAATTTTTTATCATTTTTGTCGCTTTATCTCTTTATGGGTCTATTTTTGAGATTTGAATTCCAAATCCGTCTTTTCTTAAATTTTATCTGACTTCTTATAAAATTACTTTAAAATGTGTAACATTCTAATTTTATAAAATTTTATAATTTCAATGTTTATCTGTTTTTCTTTTACATTTATTTACGTGATTTTCTGCTTTTCCAAACGTCTTTATCCAAATTAAACCTTTCTGCGTTTGTTGCTATTTGATAGAAATACTTGAGACAATAATGCCTGTTCATGCTATTAAATACGTAATAATAGAAAAAAAGCGTTATCAATATGCAAATACAGAAATTCTGATCATTTTTCTGACCTACAACCTAAGTTTCTGAACTGACTAAATTTAAAATTAATTGAGAATAATTCGGAACAAAAATTATTTTTTTTTACTACTCGGTCAGTTTTGTGTCATTTTTACTACTATTAAACTTTTTGTCATATTAAGTAGTTTTTGTATATAAGAGCAAATTCTATGATGAACATAATAATGCTATTAAACATAATTTCGAAATTAAAAAGCTAGGAAAAGCTACAAAAAGTGTTCATGATGTAATTTCGTTTGCCTTAAGAATTATGTAATTTCTTTCAAGCACATAATCAAACAATTTCTTTCACTAATTGACATTAATTCCATAGTTTTCTTTCACTTTATTATCTTGAAGGTGTCTGAGATCACGTCTTCTAATGTTTTCGCTACTAATAAACTCAAATGTTATCAATACGATTCATTCACAGCGAACCAACTGGACTTCCTTTTTCTCTCCTATCCTTAAAACTGTGTTTTTCTTAACCTAAAAATTAAAAAACAAATAATTATTTTCTTATCAAGATAAGCATTCGAAAATACAGATAAAAATGTATTCTTTTTAACAATTTATGTATCATGGTGAAATGTCTTGTTGGATAGAAGATTCTTTAATAGAAGACTCTCATATCGATCATTAATTATAGTGCTGTAAATTTCCTACATCATTATAGAGTTAAAATGCTTGATCTTTCCAGTGAAATATCAGGTGTCCGCCGATAACATCGCGGCAAAAACATCGCAGACGAAAACGTCGCGGAGAAAACAACGCAAGGAGAAAACGTCGTGCTACAAAACATCGTGGGAGAATACATCGCAAAGAGAAAACATCGCAGTTCTAAAACATCGTGGTACAAAACATCGTCGTCGAAAATAAAGCGGTTCAAAAACTTCGCAGTTTAAAAACATCGTCGTCGAAAATATCGTGGTAAAAAATAAAGTACCTACAAATCATCGCATGACGATAACATCGCAGACATTTTTTTCAGGTTTTAATAATTGGAAATGGATAATCCCATAATGATTTGTGAGCGCAAGATGTAAAGAAGGATAATTTTTACTTTCACAATTTTTTAAATAAATAATAAATTTTTGCTGAAAAAGTAAGAAGGAAACTTAAGCATAGATAATTAAATGCAACTTATAGCTTATACTTTTCATGAAAAATTACCAGTAAAAGCATTACAAAAATTATTTATTAATGGCCTTTGTTAGTTAACTATGTCGGTTTAAAATTCCATTAAGTGCTATAAGTTGCATTAATTTTCTATGCTTAAGTTTCCTTCTTATTTTCTCAGCAAAAATTTATTAGTTAATAAAAAAATATGAAAGTAAAAATTATCCTTCTTTCCATCTTGCGCTCACAAACATTATGGGAATATAAATTTACAGTTATTAAAGAATGTCTGCGAAAAGCATGTCTGAAAAAGCATATCTGCGATGTTATCGTCATGCGACGATTTGTAGATACTTTATTTTTTACCACGACATTTTCGACGACGATGTTTTTAAACTGCGAAGTTTTTGAACCGCTTTATTTTCGACGACGATGTTTTGTACCACGATGTTTTAGGACTGCGATGTTTTCTCTTTTCGATGTTTTCTCCCACGATGTTTTGTAGCACGAAGTTTTTGCCTTGCGTTGTTTTCTCCGCGACGTTTTCGTCCGCGATGTTTTTGCCGCGATGTTTTCGGCTGTAACCAAATATCATGGTCCAAATGCAATCTTTTAAATCAGAAAGAAATAATAGACACGAGAGAAATCTTGTTCTGATAACTTAAAACGGCGTATGACGATGGAATACATTATACCAAAAGTATCCATAAATAAACGCCCCCACAATTAAAGGTTTCATTGTCATTTCATTTCCCAATACGATTTTTATAATGTCAGAACATTGCAATACTGTGTCTAAATACCATTCTGTTTCTTTCTTGCAATGAGTAGGATTCTTTCTCCGGTCTACAAGGTATGTCAGATTGTTAGATCTATTATACCCCGTTCAGAAGAAATTTCATGAACATCTAATACTAGACCACATGTTTGTTGTTCCTCCTTTCTTTTAGTATTTAAATATTCTTATATGGATAGCCACACTGATATCTGTACATTGCGCATATTTTCTTTGTGCATTGATCTACTAATAAAAAAGCCAGTCTGGCCAACATTCCACCTACTTCAGCAATTTTTACAACTATTACAATAGACAGAAGTGTACAATAATTCTTCCGTTATTCTTGCATGGCATAATCAATTTTATATGACAAAGTACATCATGCCGCGTTTTACAATAGACAGAATGATACAAAACTATTTTATTTATTCTTAAAATACTAGGCTGCTATTTTTCTGTTTATTATGCATTTTCTTAAGTCCGTTAGGCAAGGTTTTAAAGTTAAGCTTTCTCGGATTACATTTGATTAGTAAAGTATATATATTTTCATTTAGATATCCATTTACGCATATTTAAGTATCAGTTCCCAATTAATTTAAAAGCTAAAATTTTTATATCAGTTTTCAAATTATAATCAGCTAAAATCTGAAAAAACCTTATAAGTTATACTTAGTCTACTACTGGAACTTTAGTTCCATAACTTTACTAAACAGTTAGTGAGATATCGACACATCTAAAATAATATGACAAGATTTATAAAGGTTTTAAACAACTTTATCGAACCTAACTGAACTTTTAACAAAACAGGTCATGACTCGTGCTACAGATAACCTCTGCTTGTGACAGTGCAAATTAAATAAGAATAGTCAAATGAATTTAAATATTGATCATTAGTCTAAGACTACATAAATACCCAGCTATAAATAAATTAAATAACCAGCTATAAGCTGGCTCAAAATAATCTAACGGCACCTTAAGCTTAAAGCATCGGCTGCTAGAGCATGCAAAGCCGAGATAACTGTACTTAGCTAGAGCTGGCAGAAATCTACCAGCGCTACACTAGTGCCAGGAACTTTCTCCCTCTAGATCTAATAATCTCAGCTTAAATACGCTAGAAACTAATCTACATTCTGATTAGGAATATGGGAAGAAGTTAAAAATCAAACTCATAACGTTATGTAATGAAAATTTTAAGTATTAATGTAACTCATTTTTTAAACCAACATAATTTCACACATACTGGTGACAGGCAAAATAACGAGATAAAGTATCAAACTTCAAAAAAAAAAAAAAAAAAAAAAAAAAAAAACTGAACTAAAGCTGAAAGCTACTGTGATGAAGGAACTGCGCGATTGATCTGAACCCCAAGTCAAATCAATAACGTATATCCTTTAAGTCAATTATTTCAATCAAAATTCAGTTTTATACTTAAGTCAACTACCTGAAAATAAAGAGGTATAAATCTTCGCTGTTGCTTGGCTATAACAAGATTGCTATCGCTCTTAAAAACACCATTACTTCAAATCACATAAACTAAATACTCAGTCAATTTCATAACTTTCTCTAGAGTCAGCAACAATTTCATTTCCATTAATTCACAACTTCACAAACACCAGGGAAGAATTATTTAAACATATCAATCAATCAGTTCCCCTAATAAAATATAGTAAATGAATCTAAATTTCACGGTACCTTCAAATAACTAAATAATTCATCAGTAATCATCCATAATAATAATAATAATAATAATAATAATAATAATAATAATAAGTGGTTAGTACATGTACTTCAGAAGGTGCGTTGTGCTTTCATTGCTTAAAATTAATTGACAATATCCTAGGTTAATCAATCTCCATGTTTCTAAAAAGCATAGACTCAAACAAATAGAGTAATTGGACAGCCTCCCCCAAATAAATACAAAAATAAAACATACCATATTTATCACTAAACACATTTATTAGTTTCTAGATTAAATAAGCATTCGAGTGATTGCGTTGCCTGATCCATTCCCTACAACCATCACCAGAATATCCATGAAACTTATCACTATGACCTAAAACTAACAGTGTGGGTGGGTATCATGCGCAGTGACAAACCTCCTCTTAAATTATCAATGGTGATAGAATGACATTATAGTGGTATTGCATCGGAATTCTCCTGGATCATGTCTATGTTTTCCGTGGTATACGTAGATGACAGTTCCAACCCGGATTAGGTAGTGCCTGAGACACTATCAGGGGAAGACAGTGAGCGCATGAAATGCCTGCTTATTACTCAGACTTAAATCCCATAGAGAAGCCTGGAATGCTCTAGAACCTATGTATTGCTTAAAGACAGAATCCTCTTCAAACTGAACAGAAACACATACTCAAACTGAACAGGAACACATAAGAGAAAAATAGGACCCAAACACTCTTTAGCAGTTCAGTGGACAGCTTACTTCACAGATGCCAAACTTATGTAAGTTTACGAAGGGGTCATGCTCCGTACTTATGGAATTGTATCTTTCTTATTTCGAGCAGATCGAGCATTTTTGTTAGTATTGAACAATAACTGTGTGGAGCATCTTTGTTTTCTTTTACTTATCTTGTTTTACCATATGTCTGTACCATTTTGCATAGTAACAATACTCAGAATCTCTGTAAAACAAGTGGCCGGTCTCACTTCTTTAAACTATGCGTATCGTTAATTATGACGAAAAATAACTCCGTTCCTTAGCCAAAGCAAGGTAAATAAAATGATTTTGTAATTCCGCCATAACGTTAAAATGAAATAGAGAACATGTTTCGTCTTTTCAATTTCAACCCTTAAGTTGTGTTCGTTACCTTATTTTCAAGTCTGAGTTCATTAAGTAAAAGTGTTCGGGAACATCTTTTATGTAAAAATGTATGTTATTGCAGATATTTTTATTGCATCTGAAAAGGAGAATAGCTTATTCATGTTTTTTTAGGAATTATTCATTACAGTGAATTTTTTTGTTTTTGAATTTATGAGAGTTACAATTTAGTTACTAATTTCCATATCTCTGTAAAAGATAACTTTTTGTAAATAATTTTCTAATAAAAGTCTATATTTTTAGCCGAACGAGCTCAAGCAACCAATGATTTTTGAAATGGCGCTAGTTCAACATCAAGTAAGATATCTCGGGTAAGTACAAGCTTCTTTGTTTCTTATTTAGTTTCTTTCCTTCATTTTTTAAATATTTAGTCTTGGTAAAAAGTAAAATAGACTTTTCGAGAGCTGCCAAAACATTTTATATTCATTAAGTGATTTATAAATCAAGTAGTGTCATTGCTTAAAAACTGGACGTTTTTACGAGCTGATTAGATGCATGATTCCAAAACACTTAAAATAATTCTTTCAAAATCCTACTACAAACTGTGAGAAGCCATAGAACGCTCTGAAACAAAGAGTTTTGGGCAGGAACGTATAGCACGAGTGAAGCGTTGTGTACAAACGTGAAAGGAAACATAAGTTGTTTACTTACAGTATCGTTCACAATTGCTTCTTTACGGCAAAGCTTACCATTATTTCTCAAACTTCTAACTATCAGTTAATGCATATAAGCAAATATACTTATATGCATCTAATCAATCATTAGCAGTACTCCATCATGACAGCGTCGATGAAATCTCTAGATCCTCATAAGAACAGCTCATACTCCATTGGATTCTTGTCAAAGAAAACGATCATGTTACCCATAAAAACTAATCAAAACTTGCTAAATCGTGCGATCGGAGTGTGTCCATCATCATGGTCTACCACGGCCAATCCATCGTACCTGAAAAGTGGCAAACAGGTATTTGTGCACATCAGTGCCAAAATGCTGTGGCATTCCATCATGCTGAAGTCACAGACGATTACGAATAACCGTCAGAATATCTTGAAGCAAAATTTGATAAAATATTTTCCAGAAAAATACGGTAACATCTGCCATTGATTATTAGTAGATATATCCCAATTAGGGAATAGTTCACGAAATCTACCCGGTCAATCATTCTTAGAACGTATCTGAATGTGCAGCATAGAGTTTAAGGTTACCCACATACGATAACTGTGCATATTGAAAGTACATGTGTGTGCAAAAATCGTCTCATCTTTGAATAACACCTGAACTTGGAAATCCTTTAGACTGCAGTTTGCTGAAAACAATTAGTCGTAAAATCCAACACGCAGAAGGCAGAGGCTAGTCTTCCGTTTTGAGTTCTCTAGAAATAGAATGGATGTAATCATTCTTCGTTTAATACACTGCAAATAGTGGGTTGATTCACACATACAACATACAATATCCTCGCATTTATGTCATATCTGTCTCCCATAAAGTTCAAGATGAATTTGTAGAGACATTAGGTATTTTTTTGGAAGCAGGAGTTAAGAAAAATTAGCAGCGCCTTCGCCGGGAACCTAACCACGGACCTCTGGAATAAGCGCCCAGCGTGCAGACAACCACACCCTGAGGCGGGAGAAATACCTTATATACTCCCCTTTTAAAGGGCAACTGGGGTTTTTATCGCACCCAGTCGCCAAATTCTGGGTGAGGAGATCATCATCCAACACCCTTTTAGTTCGGGCGCCACTGTAGAGACATTAAGTACTTTTTTGAAAGCAGGAGTCATGAAAAATTAGCAACGCCTTCGCCGAGGATCGAACCACGGACCTCTGGAATAAGCGCCCAGCAGGCAGATCACCACACCAGAAAGGCATGCCAAGAAATCGGGAGAAATATCTTATAAATTCTTCCACGTCTGATCATCGTACAGCTCTCGAGGCCTCGGCCTTGGGCTGATGTTATTGTCAGACAAATGAGCATAAGTAAAACAGCTTTCGATTGTTTCTTGCCAGTTGACCGCAAAGATACCAGTTTAGAATGCTGAAGGTATAACTGCTCAAATATCTTGTGGTTCGACATTCTCCTATTAGGAAAACTTTCCTAGCACTTAGGCAGAGCTGTTCTGCCGTACCGTTTGCCAACCTGTATAACAGATAATGCATTCTTAAATAGGCATTCTTAAAATCTCCCATCACAGGCAACAGCACAATGGCAAATGGTGTGTTCCTTAGATGCATATCATGGTGAGAAGCGGCAAACCACCTCTTGTCCTCTATCGACAACAGTAGAAGCCAACCAGTCTATCGACTATCACAAGCATATGTATTATTTATGATCAATGAGCACAGTTTCGTGCAATTATTTTAATTTTAATACTGCTGTAAAGAAACGCTTATCAACAATGCTGTAAGTAAACAATTTATGTTTCTTTTATATCCTATTTCTCATATTTGTGCCTGAACACATTACTTTCGCCCATACAAAAACTGTTTGTTGTAGTGCTCTCTACCATTCTTTAAAGGTGTTCCCATTACTTCTGAATTGCCGTGTAAAGTAAAGTAATAAGTAAACATTAGATAGATTTAGACATTGACAGGCTTTTTATGTTAACTTTTGCACGTAATGTAAGTCATAATGAATATTAAAAGTGAAGAAAATTAAATCTTTGTTCTTTAACGATTTTAAGCAACGCTAATTCAACTAAAAAGTCCTAGTACAACCGAATTAAGTTCAACTCAAACACAATTCGTACTTGTATCAGGACTTCACGGCTTGTGTTTTAAGCATGGTAAGATTTCCAGCCTATGCAATGATTTGATTGAAACCAATATTTAAGATACGAATCATATAGCTAAAACATTGCATTCACATATGTAAAGAAAGCAAGAAAAAACTAACACCTTGCTAATACATTTCGATACTATCCAAAATACGTGAATTTATGATTGGACATCCCATTCAATAGATTCGAGAGTGCATTGATGCTGTATCTGCATAAATCTTACCCAAGTTGCCTTAATTTTCTATTTAGGGTACTGAACATATTTAAAAATTTAACAAAATAACAAAAAGGTTTAAAAAGTTAACAATAAATTCCAAAAGTTAACAAAGAAAGCTTTGATTTATGAAAACAAAATCTCCTTATGATTGTTACTATTGAAGAATAAATATTTTAAATCGAAATATTCGTAAAAAGGACAATTCTGTTGCTTAGATTAAAATAATTAATAAATGGAATTAGTTCGAAGTAATTTACTTATATCTAATGCATAATTTAGAACATAAATAATTGATCATAGAACAAAAAGCAAAATACGAATAATGGATGTAATATTGTCTCATTAATTGGACTCTAAGTTTAAATTAAATTTAATTAATAACTTTTTTTCATTTCATAGCTTGCTGGAGACCGTGCGCATGCGCAAAGCCGGCTATGCCCACCGCCAGGACTATGAATCCTTTTTGCAGCGTTACAAGATGCTTTCCATCCATACGTGGCCAGTCTGGACCGGCTTGCCAGTCGAAGGAGTCACCCACCTGCTGAGAGACCTGCCCGTCCATACCTCCGAATACAGTTTCGGCAGGACCAAGGTCTTCATAAAAAGTAGCAAGACTGTAAGAATTGAAGCGTTTTTTTATTCAAATAAATTTGCTCTAATTTAATATAAGGCAAATATGCTTCCCATGAATTCTTTTTAAATGGCTACTATTAAGGTTCTTATTAATTACTCACTCTTCAGGTAGAAAATCTCAAAAATTCATATAAACAAATTTAAAATGATCATTTTAACTATTTGATTGATATGATAGTGCACATTATTCTTTAAGGTAGGGCTTCACAAGCTTATTCATAATATTAATAATTAATTCATAATTCTAAATTAATTGGAATGAAAGGATAATTAATTACTTATATCCCGCTCTGAGAACTAATATTCTAACATATTGGCTGCGGTATACCACACCAAAAATCTACCTTCTGGTTCATCCACCAGCAGGTAAACAAGGAAATCTCCATGGCCCGACGCCAATCGCTTAGCTACCAAAGCATATAATTTTGTTCAACCTCTTCGCTCGTTTGTTGACATATATGAAGTATATAGCACTTCAGGTAATGGTTCCTGATCGCTTTCGTTGACAAGAATTACCAAAATGAGTTCTTCGAACTTCGGCATGTATAAGCAATACAGGTACGTTGGTTGTTATTAAAATCTAAGATTCGTCTGTAACTCGAATGCAATATTATGTTCTCCTCTGCAGATTTCGAAACTAGGGTTTTGAAGTTTAACGCCGCCAGTAAAATTGGAATGGAGCCATTTAATAATGTAGAAGTTGCCTCAGCCATGTTTATACATGTCCAGGACATGCTGTATCTGAAATCAGGCGAGGGTTGTCCTCGGATGACTATCATTCGAATAAAAGCCAACACAGTGGTTATTTTTAGATTTCTTTAGTATAACAATAAAGTTTGCGTGCAGACTATGAGATAATAGGCTCGTGTTCTATTCGATATTTGTTTTAAAAACTTTGGCACTTTTATATCATGTTTCCTTGAAACAGAGACATAGCGCTTCCTATGACCAACTAGGAGTTGGTCATAGTCAACCAAATACTTATAGTTCGTAGACTATAATTTCAATACAAGTTATGTGCATAACTATTAAAACCGTATGTACTGCTAGAAATATCGAGAATCACTTAGAATTGCTGAAATGTTTCTAAAACGTTACTTAAATGTTATAGAACCCAATGGAATGCTTATTTAAAAAATGAAAGTCGAAGTAAATTAAAAATTAAGAATATTAGTAATCACGAACAGCTATCACAACTACTAAAATCAGTAGCATTTAAAGAACCTTTGGAATGTTTTTAATTTCATTGGTGTTTATTATGTATTTTAGAATAACATGGACTCTCTAAACATAATAGACTACGACTACTTAGATATACCTTCTCTCTTAAATATGCATAAATTAGTTATTAATAAGGGAAAACTATAAATTGTAATATTTGTAGAATATTCTAAACTGTAATACCATCACAACTAGCACACATGTACTATATCAAGCATAATAGTATTTCAACGGCTTTTGTTTACATCATTTGGGAATGAAGAATTAAATATATTGTTATTTCATGTCAAAATACTTAAACTATGTATCGTAGAAATTATTTTCATATTTATCGATAAAGTTATTTTAATTGTTTATTATATTTCAACATAAAAAAATAATTTAGAAAGTTTTGTCAAACTTACTAACATAGCTCTCTTCCCTATTCAAAAATTTTATTATTAAGTGATAATTTTAAAGTTCGAAATTTAGTGAGGGTTGTTAAGTATACACACTCATGTGCAAAATTAGGAGAATTTTATATCTGTTTTTACAAAAAGGTATTGAACGAAATAATAATTACACCGCCGAAGAATTATCCAAATATTAAGAGTCGAATACGTAAGCTTACACACGAATATCTGCGGAGCTGTAATTGTGGAGAGGATATAAGCTCAAGAGGGGTTCTCGGAGATTTGTGTGCTCGTACTTCTTTACGACATTCTCCGTGTTTCTCGTAAAAGTTGGGTAAATTTTTAGAGAATCAGGGTAAAATTAGTAGCCCCGAAAGTATGGATGAACGCAATGAGATGGAGAATTGTGACAGGCCAATAGCAACCTGAATTCTAACAAGTGGCAACAAAACACAATGCATTGTCCAGTGTCTTTTGTGATTTACGGAAATAGTTTCAGAACATTGGCTGCATATCGAGAAGACTTGTACAAGGTCGACCAAGATCGACAACGACGAATGAGGATCGTTATTCGGCACTTTCAGCAGGCAACACTAGACTGCTACAGCTTCACAGCTCTCATCTGTGTAGTATGCTGCCATTGGAACCCGAGTTTCACGGTCTAGAGTTGCTCGAAAGCTTCGTGAGATAGGGCTGTATGCCAGAGCACCGGCTGTTTGCGTCCCGCTAATTGCAGCTCACAAGAGAGCGCATTTAGCTAGTGCAGCCAACATGCGCCTTGAATTAGACTTCAGTGGAACACCCTCCTTTTTACAGATGGGTCGATATTCAGCCTGGTCGCTGATTCTCGCCATACTTATATCTGTAGAGAGCCTGTAACAACACGATTCCATCCCTCCCTCATCAGTGAGAAGGATCATTACGGTGCTCGAGGTGAAATGGTTTGGGCAGGCGTTATGCGGATGGCCGCACGCCTCTGTTTGTGTTCCTCAAAGGCTTTCTAACTCCTATGACATATAGAGAACAGAGTTTAAAACCCTACATTCGAATTTCAGGCACGTAGCTGAACTTGGGTTCCCGTTGATTGACGACAACTCTCGCCCACATAGGGCTCAGTTGGCCGACTATTACCTCGAAAGTGAGGATATTCGCCACAGGGATTAGCCAGCCATATCTCCTGACCTATATAGCGTGTCTGATACGCTTTTGGGAGAGTCGTTTCATCTCGCCATCCCCAACCGAGAATTATGCTGGACTTTAAAATTGTCTTGCTGCAGGAATGGGCTCGACTGCCACAGAGACTCGTCAGCTGCCTTCTGTCCTGTATGCTGTTACGCTGCGTAACCTGTCTGGCTGTGGGAGGGTTGAACATCCCAGAACTATGAGCTCTGTTGATAATCGTACATAAAATGACTTTTGAATGGTACATCTCTTTCTGTTTTTTAAATGTATAATCGTACCAAATTTCATTAAAACTGTCCATTCGTTTTTTAGAAATTTGACGTAATGTGCAAACTCTCTTAAAATGCATTATGAAAGAATTGATTTCTTTCTCCTTACTTTTTAAATGAGATTAAGAAAAAGTTATAGCTAAATACTCTTGAAGCCATTTTCTGTATCTGAATAGATATAAAAGTTTATTTTCTTTGAGAGGTTATTTCGTCTCTTAATTACATGAACAGTATTAAGCAAACTGCAAATTTCCTTCCTCATTTTAATTCTTATAACAAATGCATCTCATAACACAAGTAATGCGTCTCAGACAGCTAGGGAAAGAAATTCACGAGGAAGTTTTATATTATTTAGATCAATAATCAAGTTTTGTATATGTAAGATAGTTAAAATACGTTTTCCAAATGATTGAAGCATAATAATTCTAGACTTTTGTTAATTGCAGAAAACGTTTCAGTGAAGCTAAAATCGTATTCTATATACTTTTGTTCCCGGCATGCATTAATCCTTTCTGTAAATAATACCTTTCTGGTATTTTATGCGAATTTCAGGTATTTAAGGATGGGCCATGAGGCGTTTGTTTGTCTATAAATATCAATCTGATGTCTGCATGCTTCACACAATTTCGCGTGACTCGTTTTATTTATATAAAATTTGTAAATAAGGCTAAACATTTCTTCAATTTGAATTTTTAATGCTTGTCTGCATTAACCCCTTCAGCTCAGCCCTCGACGTTTTGAGGCGAAAACAAAAATTTGCTATAGATTTTAGAAGAACTCCCTTGCAACATATTAACAAGTTCCTACTTCTTGTAGAAACTACGATGTCGTGGCAATTGCGACCATCAAGTCGACAAGAAAAACACATATGGACAAGCTCCAGATAACGGCTCCGATGGCATGTAGTAAAACAGTCTCTACTACCGATAAAATAGACCTCTACAAATGAAAGTGGCAAACGGCCAACAGCAAGCCCGAAAGTGTTAAAGTAAAGCTCCACCACTGGCTGAGTCCCACCATCCGCTGAATGCCGGAAGTTTGGATCGGGTTAGATCCCAGACAAACGGCTGGGCTGCATGGTTAATTTTCATGGCTTCCCCATGTGTAAGGTGAATACGAGCCTGTTACTGTTAGAAAACCCTCCGCTAAGATGTTCCTCCTCCTCCATAGCCTTCATATACTTTTTCATATTCCAATAACCATTAAAAAATTTGACTCTTAAATGCTTACATCTTTATTGTACGATGCTTTGGTTATAAAAATTTATTCCATAGTTTTCCTTTTCCTTTGAAAAAAATAAACAAAATTTCATCCGAAATTCATTATCTGACAATAAAATTTCTTATACCTAGCATTTTTTGTGCTTTCCTTAGCTGTACGAACTGGAACAATACCGGCAGGAGAGCTTGCACGAGCTGGCTACTCTGATTCAGAAGGTGTTTCGAGGTTGGGTTCACAGAAGACTATTCCTGCAGATGAGGAGGAGCCAAATAATGCTAGCCACAAACTATCAAGCGTGGAAGGTAGGTAATCCATTTATCATTCATCACTTAAAATAATCACCTGAACGAAATTTTACTTTATTCATTGGCACTGCTTTTGAGTGTTTGTAGTAGGTTCAAGCACCTTACATTTGATGGAATCCACTCCGCTCACTCTGCATGTTTTGTAGCACAATCATATTTTACTCTAAATTCATAAATGTTTACTCCCAGTTTTACAAAATTTTTTATTATTTGGGAAATTTCACTTCCTTAAGTAATGGAGGAAATGCAGAAATTTCTGTTTTTGCAGCTGCAACTCCTTTCAAAAGCTAACAAAAATTATTTTAGAAAGAACCATTAGTTAACTTAAAATCATAAGACACCAAAAATGGGAGAAATTACATTGCTCAAGGTTTCGATAAAGATTAATTATTTTGTATATAAGAAATATCCATATTTTTTTATTTAAAAATGGTAAAGGTTTCTGTTTTTAATCTTAAGTTTTCCAGTAACATATTGATATTTTCTGATTTCTGCCTAAGAAACATTAAATACTCTTTACCAATCGGAATGTTTCCTTAATCAGCAATAATAGGAGTATTTTTGTTATAAAAGTTATAAAAGTATTTTATAACTATTCTTTACCTTCTAAATTATGAGTAAATGAAAACCTAGATTAACATTGCTGTTAATTTCTTCTTCCATCCAAATTTAAGTCTGAAATGACGTTAGCGCACAAACTGATCGCTGAATATCTCTCCAGATGTTCTTAGTTAATAGACAGTTCGGCAATGCTAAACTATTGCATTTGATGTCACAAATGTAAATTCAGAAATTTTAAACTGTTTTTAAGGAATAAATATAAACTACATTTCGATACATTTTAATTATATTCCAATAAAACTAAGATGGTATTTGAATGGAGCAAACAAATTGTACTTGAAACGTGCTATGAAAACATTTTTTTTTTTTTTTTTTTTTTTTGTGAGAATTCATTATGATACGGTATTTAAATCCTTTAGAAAATGTGGAAGAAAAAATTACTGAAGAATGTTGATCAAACCCTTTGCTTTGCTTATGTCTTTAGTCTGCATGGAATTAGTTAATATCCAAAATGTAGCTAGCATTCTTGTTTAGATGCTGTAGTGCATGAGAGTGAAAGGTTTATCTGAATGCTTTGCAAAACGGCGACGCTTAACCATTGACTGCTTTAGAATTTACATATGAATAATAACAAAAATTAAATTAATGCAATTTCTGAAAATCTAGGTTGAAACACAATACATATTTAGACCAGGCAGCAGCTTCCTAAATCATTCAACAGTCCTGTATTTCTTTGCTTGAATAAGAAAAGATTTCCAAAGCATTTTACACGAAAACTGTTACTTAAAATTTATGAATATTACGTGCCCTTCAAAATGTACATTATGAAATCATTTTTATAACATATTATACATATTTTTATAAATATACTTGTAAATTTCACAGTATATTTATAGCTATATATTTATGATAGACAGATGATCAGTAAGCTTTATTATTTATTAAAAGAATTTTTTAATTACAAACTTTCTCAATTACAAACTTTTCAAACAAAATCAAAATCTTTTAAATTTGAAAAATCTCCTTTAAAAAAATGTCAAATTTGAACTGAACAATTATTTGCATTCGGAAACAACGCAACGTTTGCGGAACATGATACTAATAAAAGCAAGCATGAGAGATATCCAGATATTTATAAATCATGAAAATTATCTGCTTTTAACCTCTTTTGCTCTTTCCTTGATAAGATAATATCATCAAAATTAATTCTTGTCTAACTTTGGTGGTACTACAAAATGAAAAACCCTTAGTCATTAGGCCTATATTAAAGAAAAAGGGAGTAGACGCACATGATCAGATTGTCAATCACATAAGTACAAGAAGTATTACCAGTAACTTTACGAACAATTGCAAGATATTAGAATCACACAACATATTGTAAAAGTAATACATAGCCTGACCTTATTAATCTTTTAAATTATTAAACATTGTATTGTACTAATGGATCTGTCTGTAAATTAGCAGGCTCGCCAATGGACGAGTGGCCAAAGTCACAAAGAGCTGATAATTTGTCGTAGGCTCCATTTTCAATAGCTGAGTGGATTAGCTGCAGAGTCTTTCGTTCTGCACTCTATTATATAATGTAAATATGAAACAGATCGTTAGATATTCCTCCCCCAAGCATTAGCTCTTAGAGACCCACCATCGGCCGAGTAGTAAAACCGCTGAGCATTGGTAGTTCCGATCTGGTTTCTAATCCTGGCGAACGGGCTGGCTTCGGGGGTTTTTCGTGGTTTCTCCAACATGCAATGTGTATATGAGCTAGGTTTTCTTAGAAAGTCCTCCAAAAAGGCATCCCTCACCTTAGGCAGATAACCCTAGTGTGCTTTACCATCATAAACTAAAACAAACCACATCAAACCATTATCGCTTAGGTAGATAATTCACGAGGCTTTGATGACATTATTTAAATTGCCAGATGATCACTACATTAATGATTATCAATTAAAGACGTAGACTCTGAAATCTATCCTGATTTAACTTAAATAATAGACCTTAGAAACCAGTTTTTCGTCTTAACTAAATTCATAAGTAGAGAACTTCTAGTGAACTCTTTTACTAACTAAAATTCTACATATATATATTTTGTAATTACTACAACTAAACCATAAAAAATAGAGAATGTGTGAAAATCAAAAGTAACAAATACCCTGCAATACGTAAAACTTAATTTGCATGATGTTTGCAAATAAATTAAAATACAAATTACAATTGCATAACAGTTATATATGAAACAATAAAATTTAGTGTGACACTTTGCCCTTCGACGTTCAATTCTCCATTCCAGCAACCGAAACTATCATTTTACAGTATTTCTTTATAGAATAACCTCGCTTAACATGTTTAGAGCTTTCTAAAATTTGAAATGATCTGCTGGTCAGCAGATTAAAGTAAAGGAATGGTACTGGGAGGCAGGAAATGGATCTTGGTGAATTAAAATTATTCAAGGTGGTATTCTTCTGGGCTTCTAGGATATGTTGGAGCGTTGTCAATAACAAGCAAAGCATGGAGTGGTAAACGAGCAACTGTGTAATTTTTAAATCGCCACTTGCATTTGCAACAATTGGAGACGGTCTTTCATTGGCTTGTGGCCCCGCTATGCTATTCTTTTGCTATAATATGAGTTTTATTTGGCATCTTTTACCAGAATAGACCAGTCTCATTACAATTAAAAGCCTGCTGCGGCAGATAATCCTCAGATTTCACAAGCTTCTGAAATGTGTCGATGAAGATTTCGGCTACCTTTATGGACCTTAATATTTTTCCGTGCCTCACAACACTGAGGATGCTGGTTCTTCTTTTAAACCTTTTCAAACTATCATCGGTTTGCTTTGAATGCTTCTCCTTTTTCCAGTCTCTTGAATCTTGTCCTTGTTTTTGAGATTAGTGGGCAAATCTTGTACACCGGTTGTATGTTTTTGCTAGGTCAGCCACGCTTTTACCTCGTTCTCGCTTCTCAAAGATTTAGCGTTTGAAGACCACGGTAATTTTTCTTGCCTTACCTCTGCATTTTTGCGGCATTTTCTTTGGTGGAAACATGTAAGCATGCTTAAATTTTCACTAAAATACACAATAATGTGTCTGAATACAACTTTCAGAAGCGATAATAAGATGTTAGCTGAACGACTACTAAACTCAGACTGATAATCGAGATGCAGGCAGGATTCTGACATTACGATGTCTCTACGTCTCTTGCTCATCGAAACATTGCTCGTTGATAGTGTTATTTTATCCATATTGTTTTGCTCGTTCCTTGAATGAGAAGGGCTCAAATCTTGCATAACATGTAAGGTTTGACTGTAGAGAATAATGTAAATGGAATAAAATTATTTTGTACATTTAAAATAAAATAACTATTATTTTTATTAAAAAACCAATTAAGAACTCTAGAGACAAAAGTTTTTGCTAGAAATTTTATGTAATATGGCAATATAAATATTCTATTCATGTCGCAAATATTTCAGGGGCGTAGCTAGAGTTTCCAACGCCCGGGGACAACTGAAGAATTTGCGCCCCTTTCTGTATGCCAAGAATGGAAAACATTTCATTAAAAAATTTCGTAGCATCAATTTGGCGCCCTTTGGATGCTGCGCCCGGGGACAGATGTCCCTTCTTGCCCCACCCTAGCTACGCCACTGAAATATTTACATATGTTCCAAGTATAAGCCTGCTTTCAGACCGCGTGAGTTAAGATGATAATCGAGTTCTTATCATACATTTTGCAACAAACCCATATCAGTTTTATCGAGATGGATGGCATAAATATACTATAGTAACTCTGTTAGATCCTGATGTAAGATTAGCCACATACAAACTGGGCATGAGCATTATAAAAAAATTCTTGTGTACTGTCATCTGATATTGCGAACTATTAGAGAAATGGAAAGTTATTGACCTTATTAAAATTACTTCATTTTCCATCGCATGATTTTTATACACGATGATTCAAAACTAGAGGAACAAACTTCTAGGACAGATGGGGTACAAGTCAACGACTCAAAATCCCACAATAATGCAGGGATGTAAATGTAATCCTAATGAAACAGGGGGTTTTTAGAAGCTGCCACAGGAAAATCATCGATAGCCACCCGCACAGGAGTTAGAATAGAAAATACTAATACATCGTGATCTCGAATCGATATTTAAAGACTAAGTCATGGCTTTCCTGAAGATGAAATTGCCTGACGTTTCGAAAAGTGTGAAGTACATGGAATCTCGTACGTTTTCTGCCATCTGTCGGAAATTCGCGGTAGTCAGGAAAATGAGCCATTTTAAAACTTCCAATGCATTTCAAAACATCCGAAATTCCATGCCTTACGCTATATTGTGAAGTGTCAGGGACCTTCATTATCAGGAAAGTCAGGACTTATGTTTAAGGTCTTTAAATGTCAGTTTGCTATCACGATTGAATTCTCACATTTTTTCCCTGTACTTCT